TTACTATTAAAAAACTAAAAGATAAAGTAATACTTTTGTGATAGTATAATTAATTCAAATAAATGAATAATAATATGGTTAAATTAAGAAAAAAATTGTTAATTTTAAAATATAAAAAAAAATTTATTTAGGATAACCTAAAAGTCAAAATACCACAGTTATATTTAGGGACAAAAGGAGTATGAATTTTAGTACTACAATTTTTGTTTATGCATAAATCATTTTCTTTATATATTGGAGGGTTATAGCGGTTTGGCATCACAATAGTTCAAACCTCTTATATTAACTTTAAATCAAGGTTTTTAAGTTAGTGGATACTAACTTAGACCAAATTTTTGTTGATTTATGCATGTATCATGGTAAAAATCTAAATTTAAAGTATATATAGCAATAAAGGTAAAAAATGAGGTAAAAATATTTATTCACCTTAAAACATAGAAAACCAAAATTAATTTAAATAAATTTTGAGTAAAAAAAAATGTCTTATTTCGGCTTGAAGAGTGCATTTTCCATGCCCTTCCCGCGTAAACAAATTAAGAAAATCGAAAAAATACTGGACAAACATATATTTAGTGGGGTCTTAATTACCATGCCAAACATTTTCTTAATCAAACCAAACATATACAATGCATAAAATCACTGTCAATAACACGTAAAAACACACGAATCATTTTCAAGGAAATAAATTAAATTTTGTTGTTGAAGAAAGACCAGCAATCAACATAAAAAAGGGCCAGATGAACGAAAGTGGAAATTTACCTTCTGTTGAAACACAGTTGGTTAAGGTTTTGGCAAAGGTAATTTGGGTGCATAGGTGAAGATTTTTGCTCTGTAATGGGGTTGGTGGGCGTACCTATGTCTGAGAACAATGATATATTTATATTGAAATAACCTAACCATGGGTTTGAGATTTAACCTTGGAGTTTAGACCTAACCCAAGGATTTGGTGCTTTTCCAGGTTTAAAACACGTGCATTGACTGACTTAGAAGTTTTTATATTAGACTGGTGTAATCTACGTCCCAGGTACTTGTTCCTTCTGAGAAGAAAACACTGCATTTATATGAAGCTAGATATCTAGCTTTGCTGGAGGAGGTGCTTTATGCTAAAATTAAGGTTAAAACCCCTTTTTGGTCCCTGGACTATTGTACGGACCCCCGATTTGGTCCCTAAACTAAAAAAATCTCTGATTTGGTCCCTACTGTTTACCATTTTTACCCCGATTTGGTCTTTCCGTTAAAAATTATGTGACGTGGCCTGTTATTTAACGGTTACCGGATGACATGTCATTTAATAATCCACGTGGAAGATAATGTAACCAAAAAGTGATGATGTGGAAAAAAGATAACATAAAAAAATAACATAAAAAATAAAACTTAAAATTTTTTTTCTTTTTTCTTTTTTTCCTTTTTCTTTTTTTCTTTTTTCTTTCTCCTTCCCCTTTCCCTTTCTCTTTCTCCTTCCCCTTTCTCTTCTCTTTCCCCTCGGAACCCAGCAGGCCTGGGTTCCTTCGAGCCCACCTAGGAGCTGGGTTCCTTGCGAACCCAGGCGCTGGGTTCGCGAGGAACCGAACCCAGCACGCTTGCCTGGGTTCGATGGGTTCGCAAGGAACTCAAGCATGCTGGGTTTGCCTGGGTTCGCACCGAACCCAGCACGCCTGGGTTTGGTGGAACCCAGCACGCTTGGGTTCGGTTCCTTACGAACCCA